AAGTGATGTGCCACTGATCTAAACCCTGGCTCCTATTTTATATGTGGCTCAAGATGATTTCTTTTAGGGCTGGGGAGACAGCTCAGTAGAATAAGTACTGGCCTGGCAAGCACAAGGTCCTGGGTTCAAGCCCTGGTAAAAAAAAAAAAAAAAAAGGATTTCTCTTAGAAAACTGGTGGGGCCCGGGATGGACATGAATATCCCCATTCTTGGTTTGATTCTGAAGTGAAATAAGGGTTTTAATTTCTGGACCTCATCTTAAGACTCTTCTCCGGGTCAGAACTGATCAGGAAATCATCAGATTTATGATATTTTGTGTATTTCCAGGTTAAAGAGCTTGTGGAAGCAGAGTTATTTGCCCGGTATGACCGCCTGCTTCTCCAGTCTACCTTGGACCTGATGGCAGATGTGGTGTACTGTCCGCGCCCATGCTGCCGCCTGCCTGTCATGCAGGAGCCCGGCTGCACCATGGGCATCTGCTCCAGCTGCAACTTTGCCTTCTGTACCTTGTGCAGATTGACCTACCATGGGGTCTCTCCGTGTAAGGTAACGGCAGGTATGTTGTAACTGCAATCCCAAAACTCCTTTCCTCTTTCCGTGACAGACTTCAGTTCTCAAATTTAAAATTCATTCAGTAGATACTCCTGTGTGATTTACTCTCTTGGGCTCTTAGGATACACACTCTGTCCTCATGAACATATACGTACTAATGGGAGTAACAGGCAAACGAAGTGAATAAGGCTGCTGGGCAGTAGTAAGTACTAGGGAGAACGAAGGGAGCAGGGCCAGGAGATGAAGGAGTTTGGGGCTGGAAGCCTTGGCATTTTTAATTAGTCAAACCAGGGGAGATTTCACTGCCAGAAGGTTTAAGGTGAAGAAAGTAAAACCAGATGGGGTGGTGGGGAGAGAAACGGCAAGATACTTTCTCTTTGTGAACATGGGAAAATGTGGGTCCCAAATCACCGGTATGGGGCCTCTAAGCTGCCACTGTTTTCATGGTGCACATATCTGAGCTGTCATCAGATGCTTTCCCATTGAGGCCGGAGCCTGAGAGCCTTCCTCAGTTTAGCTGGCCTTCAGTGGCTTAGTTTTTCTCAGGGATGGTGCTAATGGCTACTAGCTATTATCCCTATGTCTAGGGTTATGGAGGATAAAGAGAATTTAGTACAGTGCTACTCAGAATCATGACATTTGGCCAGGCATGGAGGCGCACACCTGTGATCCCAGTGCTCAGAGGCTGAGGCAGGACCACTGCTCTGAGTTTGAGGCCAGTCTGAACTACATAGGGAAACCTTGTTTCAAAAAGATAACCACAACAAAAAAGTTACGTTTGTGATTCTAGTCTGTAACAAGGTAAACAGTCGAGGTGAGAAACTTTTATAGGAATTTCAGAGCATTTTGGTTTGAACTTCTTTATGTTTTTCTAATTCATTGGGCTATGTTTTGCAGAAGTACTGATCCTTGACAGACTGGGGAGAAATCTGATTCTCCACCGTAATTTGAGGAACAGTGGCTGATACACTTAAAATGTAAAATGGTAACATCATCATTGTAATAGTTACTAGTTGCTAATGTTAACAGAGTGTCCTTATTTCCAAGAAAATAGCTAAAAGGAAAGAATGAGTGAAAGAAAAATCCTGGTTTCCTATGGCAGAGTCTCACAGAAGATAAGGAGCGTTTGTAGCTTAAGTCATATTTAACTATGAAAGAAGCCTTGACTCTGTAACCTTATGTTGAGAGGCTGTCATACAGTTTAGGTATGTCACAGCATTCAGAGAAGAAAGGGAAGACTAGAGGCTTCATTGAGATTAGAAATCTCACTTTGTGTGTGTGTCTTTTTATAGAATAGGTATTATATAAAATATGCGACACTAAGAACTGTACTGAGAACTTAAGATGTGTGGGAACACAAAAACTGCTTTGAATTATTGGATAAAAACTACAGTACTAAAAAGATCTTTGATTCATCAAAGTAGAAGTGGCAGAACATTGGGAACGCACAAAGCAGAAAGAATGTACAGGGCAAAGGAAAGAGTACAGAACGGGCTTCTGCCTCAGATCATATCCATTGCTTAAAAGGGAGACAAACCTCTAAATCACAGGAAATTAGACTAGAAGAATAATTAGGACCATGCTGAGAGAGGTCTTTCACTGTGCTGAAAATTTAAGGCAATAGAATTGGGAACCCAAATAGTTTTCTACAGGAACAGCCTTCGTCAGTGGTTGCCTGTTTCATTTGCACTAAATGTTACAGCAGTAGAAGCCACATGAAGAACATGAAGGGGAAATGCCACCAGGAAGAACTGTTCAGTGCTGTGGTAAAGTGTAGCATAGGGGAAGCTGAGGACAGTAACGTGGATTCCCTGACCATTGTCTATGCAGAATTCAGTGGTTAGTTTTTGCCTCAAGCCAAAGGGGCCTTGCATATTTGTTAAGCCTCTGTTCTATGAAAAGGTGAGTGATGCTGGCTTCATGAAAAATCATTTTCAACCTTGAGGTCTTTTATATGTCTGTCTTAATTGTGCCATTTGCTTAAATATAACATTGCAAAATCAAAATCAGGGCTGGGGAGATAGCTCGGCGGTCTGAGTGCCTGCCTGGCAGGTGCAAGAATCCGGGTTTGATCCCAGGTTTCACATGCTGTGCTGGCCCTGGAACCCTGGGCACATCGTGCTACCGCTGAAACTGGCTGTGATGGCGCATAGCGCTGGGGTGGCTGAGACAGGAAGATCACTATGAGCCCAAGCTGCGTAGCAAGGCCTTGTACCAAATAAACAAAAGAAAGCAGATAACTTATCACCTTTAGCAAGTTCAGTTTTTCTAGTTGGGTGATTCCTTTATTCCCTGCTTTGTCATTTCTGCATAGGTAATCTTTACCTAGTTATAAGAAAAGTGTACTTTTTCTGGATTCTGTGTTAGGTGATAGCTATTGTGATTTGACTTAAGTTTTTAGTTTATCATGTCATCATATGGCTTTTATATTTATTTTCCTTGAAAATTTAATTTGTTGGGCCACAGAGATAGCTCAGCAGTCTAAGCATCTGCCTAGGCAAGCACAAGGACCCAGATTCAACCCCAAATACCACATGCCATGCCAGCCACTGAAACCAGGCATGGTGGCACAGGCCTGTAATCCCAGCAAAAGGAGGATCACTATGAGACCCTGTACCTAATACATTAGGGAAAAACAAGTTTTGTCTACCAATTTTTTTTTTCTAAATATTTTAGGGAAAGGTCTACAGAATGTTGAGGGTCTTACTACTAGATCACACTCAGAGTGATCTGCCTGTTTATAGCCTCCTAAGAGCTGGGATTACAGGCCTGCACCACCACTCCCAGTCTCAATTGCTGTCTCAGCATGTGCCAGGGGCAGGGCCAGCACCGCAGGCCTGGGGATTGAACCTCTAGCCCCTGTGCCTGCTTGTAGGCGCTGTAATCCACTGAGCTATTTGGCCAACCCTTGTCTACCATTGTTTTTTTTTTTTTTTTTTTAATTTTATTTTTATTTATTTATTTAGTGTGTGCGTGTGTGTGGCCAGCTCAGCCCACCAGGGGGCAGGGCTGGCTGGCATGTGGTGCTGGGGGATTGAACCGCGGTCCCTGTGTTTTGCTTAGCTTGTTCTAAGTAGGTGCTTTAGACCACTGAGCCATCTCACCAGCCCTACCATTGTTATTAGCATCTTTATGAATATGATATTACTTTCAATTACCCCCCCACCCCTTTTAATGTATTTGGTTGTTGCAAGTTCTCACTACACTGCTCAGATTCATAGTGATCCTCCTGCTTTGAGCCTCCCCAGTGCTGGGATTACAGGCATGTGCCACCATGCCCTGACTCTGTGGCCAGCTCAGTCCACCCTGGGGGCAGGGTAGGCGCAGCATGTGGTACCGGGGATCGAACTACAGTCCCTACATCTGCCTAAGCAAGCACTTAATCCATTGAGCTATTTGACCGGTCCCCAATTACCCTGTTTTGATAAAGTCCTAGGAATAGCATTATGATTTTTACTCAGTTTGCAATTAATTAATTAATTTATTTATTTATTTATTTATTTTGCGAACCAGGGATTGAACTCAGATCCTTGCATTTGCCAGTCAAGCGCTTATCCTAATGAGCCATCTCCCTGGCCCCTCAGTTTGCAATTTAGTAAAAATAAATTTTCTATTTTACTTTCTAGAAAAATTAATAGATTTACGAAATGAGTACCTACAAGCGGATGAAGCCAATAAAAAGTTTTTGGAACAGAGGTATGGTAAGAGGGTGATTCAGAAGGCTCTGGAAGAGATGGAGAGTAAGGAGTGGTTGGAAAAGAACTCAAAGGGCTGCCCATGTTGCGGAACTCCCATACAGGTAAGTGTTCTGGAACAGACCTGGAGGTAGGCAGATTTGAAAGCATGTCATGTTTATCTTAAGCCTAGCCAGGTGTGGTGGCCCATGCCTGCAATCCTAGCACTCAGGGAGGCTGAGGCAGGAGGATCTTTATGAGTTCAGACCAGCCTGGGCTACAAAGTGAGCTCAAGGCCAGCCTGACTGCATAGTGAGACCCTGTATCCAAAAAAAAAAAAAAAGCTAATTAGTCAATTTTATAACCTGTTAATACTTCTTGTATTTATTAAGCCTTTATCCTTAGGAAATATGATTTCACTATTAAATACTGTTACTTTATGTATATAGACTTCCCTTTTCAAAGTGCTTTCACTCAAAGACAGTCTCACATTATTCCCATCTTAAAATTGAATGGGTTATGCAGCCAATAACACAGTTCATTTGGGCTCCTGCTTGTGGTCCAAGGTTGAGAGCCACATCTGGTGCAGGGCTTCTTGATGGCAGAGCCCTGAGGCTGTGGAGGGCATGGCGTGGGCGTGGGCTTGCTTGTGTGTGTGTGGCACAGAATACGCTCAGTGTCTGTTCTCTTTTTCCTTGTAAAGTCAAGTTTCCAGTCCAGGTGCCCTGCTCTGAGGACTTTATCTAACCTTCATCTTCCCAAAGGCACTGCCTCTAAACACCATTGTTAGATTAGATTTCGAGCTTCTTAGCACCTAACAACTCGGATTAAACTCCAATATTTTTTCTTTAATTTTATTGACATATTGTAGATGCATATAATGATCACATTCATTATTTGAATGTAAATTTGTACCTGTACATGATGTATTTTCATTCTTTTCCCTCTTCTGTCCCCTCCATTCAACGCCTCCTACCCTTCTCACTTCCAAAAGCTTTTTTTTTTCGTGGTACTAGGGATCAAACTCAGAACTTTGTGTTTGCCAGGCAGGCTCTTTTTCTACTAAGCTGTCCCCCCAGCCCTCCAAAAGCTTTGTTTCCATCTTTCTATTCTTTTTGTTTTCCCTTCCTTCCTTTCCTGTATCCCCTTCCTAGTTTGGGTTCCCATTTTAATATATTCTTGCTGTTTCCCAGTACCTATTATACATTTTGGCCCTTATTTATAGTTTCTGTGTATCATATCAGAGAAACTATGTGATACTTGAACATGTGTGTCTGATTTATTTCACTTAAGAGTATGGTCTTAAGGTGCATCTATTTACATAGAAATAGCTCAGTTATCTTTCTTTATGGCAGCGTCCATTCATTGGTTGATGGGATTTGGGCTGTTACAACCTGTGCCACTATAAACGTGGCTGCGCATACCTCCCTGTGGCATGATGCCTTTAGGGTTTTTTGAGAAGACATCAGGAAGCGGGTAATAGGTAAAATGGATCCCTAGTTTTAGTCTTTTGATGACTCTCCACATTGATTTCTACACCGATTGCACCAGTCTATACTCCTACCAACAGCAGAGAAGGGTTCCTTTTGCCCCACACTCAGCTAGCATTTGTTACTGGTTGACTTCTTGATAACGGCCATTTTTTGGAGATGAACTCTGAGTGTTGCTTTAATTTGCATCTCTTGAATGACCGGTGATTTTTGCATATTTTTTCATATATTTTTTGCCATTTGTACTTCTTTATCTGAGAAGTATCTATTTCTGATGCCCGTTTTTGAATCGGGTCTTTAAATTTTGAGGGCTCTGATTTCTTTTACTTTATATAGTCTAGATGTTAGTCCTTTATCTGAGAAACAGTGGCAGAAATTTTTTCCTAGTTTGGGTTTTTTCTTCACTGTGCTGGTGGTTTCTTTTGCTATACAAAAGCTTTTTAATAAAATGAGATCCCAATTATTGACTTTTTGTGATATTTCCTGTGCTATCAGGGTTTTGTTCATAAAGTCTTCTAGAGACCAGCAGAGGCAGTGGCCGGAGCAGCCGTAGCCTGTGTGTCCCCATCCCCACCCCATCCTCTTCCTTCACCCCCCCCTTCCTGCTCTGCCCACTCGGGGTGGGGGGCTTGCCTTCCCACCCACACCTCCCGCCCTTCCCCTTCCCACCTGCTCCCCTTTTCCCCTCAGTCACCTCACACCTACAGTTTTTGGCTTTGACACCCCCCCCCTTGACTAAAGACTTGAGCACTCAAAAAGTCCAGGTCCCCATAGTATTTGACATGGACATCGGTGTGATTGAAGGTGGATTAAATGTCACTCTCACCATCCGGCTACTTATGCATGGGAAGGAAGTTGGCAGTAACATTAGAAAGAAAGGAGAATCGGTTAAGAAGATGCGTGAGGAGAGTGGTGCAACGTATCAACATCTCAGAAGGGAATTGTCCTGAGCGAATTATCACTTTGGCTGGACCTGCTAATGCCATCTTCAAAGACTTTGCTATGATCATTGACAGACTAGAAGAGGACATCAGCAGCTCTATGGTCAATAGCACAGCTGCCAGTAGAACCCTAGTCACTCTGAGGCTGGTGGTCCCTGCTAGTCAGTGTGGCTCTTTCATTGGAAAAGGCAGTTGCAAGATCAAGGAAATACGAGAGTACAGGGGCTCAGGTCCAAGTGGCAGGAGATACGCTCCCCAATTCAAGTGAGCGGGCCATCACTATTGCTGGCATCCCACAATCCATCATTGAGTGTGTCAGACAGATCTGTGTGATCATGTTGGAGACTGTCTCCCAGTCCCCCCTGAAGGGCGTGACCATCCCTTACAGGCCCAGCCATCAAGTTCTCCAGTCATCTTTGCAGGTGGTCAGGCCTATACCATTCAAGGACAGTATGCCATTCCACAGCCAGAGTTGACCAAGCTGGACCAGTTGGCAATACAACAGTCTCATTTTCCCATGACGCATGGCAGCTCTGGATTCAGTGCAGGTTTGGATGCATCTGCTCAGACTACTCATGAACTCACCATTCCAAACGATTTGATTGGCTGCATAATTGGCTGTCAAGGCACCAAAATCAATGAGATCCGTCAGATGTCTGGGGCGCAGATCAAAATTGCGAACCCAGTGGAAGGATCTACTGATGGGCAGGTTCCCATCACTGGATCTGCTGCCAGCATTAGCCTGGCTCAATGTCTAATCAATGTCAGGCTTTCCTTGGAGACAGGTGGCATGGGGAGCAGCTAGAACAATGCAGATTCATCCATAACCCTTTCTGCTGTTCACCACCACCCATGATCCATCAGTGTAGTTTCTGAACAGCCAACGATTCCAGGTTTTAAATAGTTTGTAAATTTTCAGTTTCTACACTCTTTATCATCCACTCATGATTTTTTATTTTATTTATTTATTTTTTTTTAAATTTTACTTATTTGGGGTGTGTGTGTGTGTGTGTGTGTGTGTGTGTGGCCAGCTCAACCCACTAGGGGGCGGGGCTGGCTGGCATGTGGTGCTGGGGGATTGAACCGCGGTCCCTGAGCTTTGCTAAGCTTGTTCTAAGTAGGTGCTTTAGACCACTGAGCCATCTCACCAGCCCATGATTTTTTTAATTAAAGTGTTAATTCCTTTCTCTGTTCAGCTGTTTATGCTGAGATCCATATTTAGTTTTTGTTTTTGTTTTTGTTTTTTTGGTGAAACCAGGGGTTGAACTCAGGCCCTTGTGCTTGCCAGGGAAGTGCTTGTTCTACTGAGCCATCTCCCTGGCCCTACATATTTAGTTTTATAAGCTTCTCCCTGTTTTTTGTTTGGTTTGGTTTGGTTTGGTTTTTTGGCTCACGAATTTTTCTGTTTGTCATGAAAATGTAAGGAATATTAATACATTTCAGTTTAGTTCTGTGATGTCAGGAGTTTTTCCAAAAAATTAAAAGATGGACTGGAGCTTTTTGTGAATAGAAACTGGATGCCACAGTGAGGCTCTCTTTCAAGGTGGTTGGTCCTTTTGTCAAAGATAAGGAGGCTGAGTGTGTTTGGAGTTGTTTGTACGTCTTCTAATCTGGTCCACTGGTCCTTAAGTCTTGTCTGGTGATCCTATTCTCTTGTCTGGTGGATTTATGCTGTTGGAGTCCATGGAGTTGTAGCCTTTGTAATCTCATCCTGTCTGTCTGTCTGTCTGTCTGTACCAGGGATCAAACTCAATATCTTGCGCTTGCCAGGTAGGTGCTTAGGCTGTGTTACCTCATTTTAGAATGTCCATCAGAACATTTTAGAATGCTGGTTTGGTGGTCATGAATTTCTTCAGATGTTTTTGGTCATGGAAGTATCTTATTTCTTCATCAATTTTGAAAGATAGTTTTGCTTGGTTCATTAATATGGGTTGGAGGTTTTCTTTTAGGGTTTGAAATACTTCACTCCAAGCACTCCTTAAGGGTTTGTGTTGAGAAATCTATAATTCTGATAGGATTTTCTTTATAAATGTTTTATTTTGTTTTCTCTAAGAGCTTTTAATATTCTGTTCCTGTGTTGAGTTTCTGGAACTTAACTATTATATACCTTGGATAGCTTTTAAAAAATAAAAATAAAAAAAATAAGTAATTGGAGTTCTGTATGCCTAATTTGTATGTCAAATTTTCTTTCCATGTTTGGGAAATTTTGTGCCATTACTTCTCTGAACTTTTTTTTTTTTTTTCATTTGTACTATCTATTGCTTTTTCATTGACTTTAGTCAACCTCATGTTGTTATTCATATCCTTTAGTAGCTGCTGGATGTTTTGCAGTCCCTTGCTATTTTAAACCTTCCTTCCTTCCTTCCTTGAGGTTAAGAGCAGAATATTTATTGGGGGGAAGAAAGCTTCTGTCCAAGAGAGGGATGGAAGGGTGGCCTGAGCAGGTTGTCCCCAAAGAAATCTTTCCTTTCGTGATCGCTAACTGATATCCTGTCTTCTAGATCTGATATTCAGTCCTCATATTGATGCATCTGCTATGTTTACTTTGAATAAAATCTGTAATCTCCCGGATATCTGATTGAATCTGCTTCATGGATTTCATTTCCTTCCTGTGTTGGGCATTTATGGTTTCCATCATTTTCCTAAGCTCTTTTACTTTTTTTTTTTTTTTAATCTGTATGTTCTCTAGACTCAATAATCATGCCCTTCGTTATGACCATCTTCACTGGTTATCTGAGAATGTCTTTCTGATGTGATTTTTTTCTAGACCTCATGCGTTTGTTTTGTTACTTCCAGTGTTACCACCTCAGAGAGTTCAGGTGGGTGGCTTTTGAATTGGTCCACCTCATTGCCCTGTGGGTTTGCCTTCGGTGAGCCGGAAGTGTGAGGTTACATCTTTCTTCTGTGTCTGTTCGTTTTCTTCTTCTTCTTTTTTTTTTTTAGTTCCTGCATTGATGCTTGTGAACTACTTTTTTTTTTTTTTTTTTTTTTTTTTTTTTGCGGAACTGGGGATGGAACTCAGGCCCTTGCGCTTGCCAGGGAAGCGTTTATTCTACTGAGCCATCTCCCTGGCTCCTGTAAATTGCTTATGGTAGATATCTTTACTGCTGGTGTTAAGGACCTTTAGGAATATTGTTTTCAGAGATATCTTTAAGGTGTAACTGGCTTTTGGGTTTTAAGTGTATTGCATGATCCTATCTCTTCAGAGCTGGGCATGGTGGCACAAGCCTTTAATCCCAGCACTGGGAGGTCTGAGGCAGGAGGATTGCCATGAGTTCAAAGCCAGGTTAGGCTACATAGTGAGTTCAGGGCCAGCCTGCACTACAAAGTGGGACTCTTAAAAAAAAAAATTCCACCTCTTTAATTTATTGGGGCTGAGAAATTGCTGTTTATTTGGCTCAATTCCTGAGTCTTTGATACTAACTATAATATTTATGACCCTTGGGCAGTCTCAGTCTTGGCATACAAGGAAGAACAACTGATTAGAGCAGTTATGTCATCTTGGCTTAAGTGATATATTCAGTAATAACGATAGCATCAGACATCCTGGAAAGTGACAGACTGTAATAGTATTTAATTTGCCACTTTTAGCCACAGAAACAGTATTCGTAATTATATAACTAAATTGAAAACAAACCAGAAAATTGTGTAGAGTAAGTATATCTCAATATGGTAATTTAACTCTCAGGGGAAAAAGATGTAAAGGGGTTATAGGAAAAATGGAGAAGTAGAAGACAGATAGGAAGCGAGGCTAGAGGACAAAGGAACGTCATGCAGGCTTTAGCAACTGGTAAAGAAGACAAAAGGGACAGAGGGAAGAAACAAAAACTAGAAACAGTACTCTCAAATAAAAATAGTAATGAACAATTAAGATCTTCCTGGATGTTTCCACCATGAGTTTCAGAGAAGACAAGCCATATTAAACTATAGCAGATTAGGGGAAGAGCTATGTTTAAATTTTCTTCTTTTTTGGTTAAGCCAGGGTCTTGTCTTGTAGTTCCTGCTGGCTTCAAACTCACAGTGGTCCTCCTGTCTCAGCCCCTGAGTGCTGGGATTACTGGCATGTGCCCCTACGCAGAACTACAGTCAATTCTTTTTTTTTTTTTTAAAGGCTACCTTTCTTTCTTTCTGTGTGTGTGTGGGGGGGGGCAGCTCAGCCCACCAGGGGGCGGGGCTGGCTGGCATGTGGTGCTGGGGAATTGAACCAAAGTCCCTGTGCTTTGCTAAGCTTGTTCTAAGTAGGTGCTTTAGACCACTGAGCCATCTCAGCAGCCCTACAGTCAATTCTTAATTCATCTTTGTGATTTTAAAAAAGATATCTGGCCTCTCAGAACTGTTTATCCTGGAAAGCAGCATACTCCTGTAACAAGTATACAATTAGGAAGTGGACATTTTTCCACTAATGTGAGCCAAATAAATGGATCAAGTGCTTAACATCAAAATCTTAACATGTTTTAAAATCAAAATATACTTCATACTTGATCACCCTGTTTCAATCTGTTATATCTACCCTAAGCCTAGTGATTACCCTGTTACTCCATGAAAGAGGCTGGCTTTACATTTGACCACTTTGGATATGCCTTATCCCTATGATAAAATGGAGGACTTGATGCCAACTATTTACCAGTATTTATGTAAAAATTTAAAACTCAAGCACATTTAATCCAAAACTTAATATCCAATCGTGTTTGATTTGTATCTACTGTTTATCAAGAGATTTTGCCAAGCATCTAATTACATCTAATGCTAGGAACACCTGCTAAATATTTTCTGTGTTTCAGTTGTGAAAATAATAAGAATTATGTTACTTGTGTATTTCAATCCTGCCTGAGGAAAGAGAAGCAGAGCTGGGCGTGGTGGTGAATGCCTGTAATCCCAGCACTTGGGAGGCTGAGGCACGAAGATCTTGTAAGTTGCAGTTGGAGACCAGCCTGGGCTACAAAGTGAGCACAAGGCCAGCCTGAACTGCATAGCGAGACCCTGTCTCAAAAAGACAAAAACAAACAAAAGAAAGAAAGGAGAAACAACTAGGAGAATGTTACGCTGAATCTTTCTGGCATCTTACAATCCTCCTGTCTCAGCCTCTGAAGCACTAGAACTTAGACATGTCCACCACTACATTAGGTTTCTTCACAGTGCATCGCTGAGAAAATAGAGCCCCAGAGACATGAAGTGACTGCCACAGTTAGCGAGGGGTGTATCTTGCTTTTATGTTTAGAGCCTTGATATTGTTCTCTTTCTGTCCTTTGCACCAGAAGCTGGACGGCTGTAACAAGATGACATGTACTGGCTGTATGCAGTATTTCTGTTGGATTTGCCTGGGTTCACTTTCTAGAGCAAACCCTTACAGACACTTCAATGACCCTGACTCCCCATGCTTTAATAGGTATGTGCACACAACGTTTCTCCTGCTCTGTGGTATTTTTGATATTTGATTTAAAGACCACAAACCCAGTGTTTTACTAGGTACTTAGACTTACTTATTGAATTTGTCTACATATTTTTCCACCCATATAAATTTATATATTATTTTCTTGAAAATTTTATTTTGTGAATATGCCCTGAAATTTTTAAGTTGTTTTATCAACTTTTTATGAGGAAAACTCAAACATACATGAAAGTTGAGAAGATAATACTGTGAATAGGATGTATCAATTATTTTCCATATTCACTGTCTTTTTTAACTTCTTTGCTGAAGTTCTTAAAATTGGAGTTACAATGATGCTCCAACTCTACTTCTACATATATAACCTAAGAAAATGTTCTGAGGGACTGGGAGCATAGCTCAGTGATAAGAGTATATGTTTAGCAGGCACAAGGCCTGGGATTCATCCCCAGTACCACAAAAAGAAAAAAAATAACGCTTCTATGTAAAAGCATTACTTTAAATTTTTTAATAATAGCATACTGTCATGTCCCAACCCGCGGGTTAGTCAGTGAGGACCTTAGAAGGGGAGTGGGGATGAGAAGGGACAGGAGACACAAAGAATGGAGACAAGACAGGATTCTGATCAAGTCTCGTTTATTCAGGGGAGGTGCTGGATATATATAGGGGGTGTAGGAATGAGGAAGTCTCTGCTCTAGGGGGTCAGCAGGTATCTAGGCAACGGGGGAAGGTGTCACCTCTGGGGCATAGCATGTGATTCACGGGGAATGGGCAAGGTGAGAAGGACCATAAACTTAACTCAGCAGGGGAATAGAAACTTAAGAAACGGCTGACACTATTATAAAATGGATACCAGTTAATGGCTTCCCACACTGTCATCTGACCCAGTATATATAAAACATTCCAGTTATTCCTGAAAACTGTCAAAGTTCAGATATTATAATCATCAAAGTTACTTATTTATTTATTTATGCTGAGGATTCAACTTAGAGCTTTGTGCATGCTGGGTAAGTGCTGTACCCACTGAGCTATCTCCCCAGTTCTGTCTCTGAATGTAAAAAAGTTTTGGGGCCTTTTATGTTGACTTTTTTTTTTTTTTTTTTTTTTTTTTGCGGTACCAGGGATCAAACTCAGGACCTTGTGCTTGTCAAGCAGGTGCTTATGCTCCTGAGCTGTATCCCTGACCCTGTGTTGACATTTTGAAATGTTTTAAGTCAGTTGTCCTATATATTTTACCTTCTAGAATTTTTTTCTTCATGGTGTCTTCCAACTTCTCTATCTTTGCTATTTGCTATCAATTTGAAGTTTGATCCAGACAGATGTTTGAATAGGTTTAGAGTAACCATTTTTGTTGAGGGGATATTTACTACCTGTTACATAACACAGGGGCCATAATGTCAGGCTGTCCCTCTATTAGTGTGATATTTAGATGTATCATTTGTTTCATTACAGAAGGTAAGTTTTCCTTATGTCTTGTTGATTAGTAAGGAGGGAGCCAGAGAGATAGCTCAGCAGTATAAGCTAGCACCTGCCTGGCAAGTGCCCAAGCTCAAGGTCTGGAGCTCAAAAAAAAAAGTAAATACAATATTATTAGTCAGGAGGATTCTTTGGCACAGTGAGTATTCTGTGCTCCACTAGCTGTCCAACTTTAGCAGCAGTCAGTGGTCTCGCTTACTAGGTTTCTGGAGAACATCTATACTTGTTAGTGTCTTAAACTATAAGGGAAATTGAGGCAATAAGCTCTGCATATGAATTGTTCAAGTAAGCATTGGAAGTTACATAAATTTGTGGTGATAGAAAGAGATTGATAGTTACACTGCATTCTACCAGTTGAGCATGCAAGGGCTATGAAGACAGTGGAGGTATTAGCATAAAAGAGCGGGGCCTGCCCCTTAGCTCAGTTCTTTTTTTTTTTTTTTTTTTTTTTTTTTTTTTTATTTATTTGAGAGAGAGAGAGAGAGAGAGAGAGAGAGAGAGAGAGAGAGAGAGAGAGAGAGAGAGAGAGAGAGAGAGAGAGAGAGAGAGAGAGAGTGTGGCCAGCTCAGCCCACCAGGGGGCAGGGCTGGCTGGCATGTGGTGCTGGGGGATCGACCGCGGTCCCTGATGCTTTTGCTAAGCTTGTTCTAAGTAGGTGCTTTAGACCACTGAGCCATCTCTCCAGCCATTAGCTCAGTTCTTTAAGTGGCTGCTTCAACAAAGCAGTCAGGTTCAGGTTGCTGTGGTTTGATCCCCACAACTCCAGCCAGCCAAACTTGCCCTGAAGGCATTCAGAGCAAAAAAAAAAAAAAAAAAAAAAAAGCATAAAAGAGTGTTACAGTGTCTTAACTTCTCAGCTTCTAAAACCTGACAATCTGACCTTTCCAGTCTTGTAAGCATTGAGTTAATTTTGTGACAGCTATCCCCTGTTATATTATTGATATTTTAGGGGGTGGCATGTTTTTTTCTTTTTTGAGACAGGGTCTCACTAAGTAGTTGAGGTTGGCTTTGAATTCACTGTATAGCCCATGGCAGCCCTAGAATTTTTAGTGATCCTCCTGCCTCAGCCTCCCGAGTACTGGGGTTCCAGGTGTGTGCCACCATGCCAAGTCTCCTATTACTGTATACAGTTGGCCCTAGAAAATTTATGGCCCAAAAAGCAATTTGTTTGCAAAGTTAAGGCTGCTTTTTCATTTTTTAAAAATTTTTTGGTGGAACCAGGGATTGAACTCAGACCCTTGCGCTTGCCAGGGAAGCACTTATTCTATTGAGCCATCTTCCTGGCCCCTAGGCTGCTTTTTCAGAGGGACCCAAATTTCAGCCTTTCTCAATGTATGATTAAAGCAGAAGAAAGATATTGTCAGAAAAATTAGGAAGCCAGGGAGATGGCTCAGCAAAATAAGTGCTTCCCTGGCAAGTGCAAAGGCCTGAATTTAATCCCTGGTTCCACCAAAAAAAAAAAAAAAAAAAAAGAGAGAGAGAGAGAAATGCAGGAAGTATTTTTGAAAGAAGAAAATGCAGATTAATGTTCAGCTTTGGCCAAGTACATGACTGTACATCTTATTGGTGTTCCAGGTTGTTCCATGCTGTGGACGTTAATGGAGATGTCTGGGAAGACGTGATTGAAGACTAGTGGCTCATGCTCACGAGACAGGGGTGGAGTTGTTTGCCCTAAGCGTTTCTCAAGTACACTAAGAAGCTTCTCAGGATTTTGGGATGCCGTGCATGCACTCTTCCTGAGTACCAGAGAAGGAAGAACAAGATTTATATTTTCATTTGGTACTATTGACTAAGGCATCCATTTTTCCATGGAATATAAACTGATAAAATTAGAAGCCAAAGGTTCAGAAAGTGAAAACTACAGATTATTGAATATTATATAACATGCCCAAAGTGCTAAATAGTTAAAAATAAGTATTTATTTTCTCCCCAAGGTAGAGGTGAGGTCGAGAACTAACCACATAGACCTGTCTCCAAGAAGCACCCCTCTGAGGCATTCTTCCGGAGCCCCTCCACTGCCTCTTCACACAGCCGGGTGGGTAGAAGGAAGCCCTATGAAATGGTACTGAGTACTTCATCTCACTCACATTAGACCCTTTCCAATCTAAATTTCTCCTGAGGTTTTTGTTTTTGTTTTTGTTTTGGAGGGAGTCTTCTCCCATAATTGCATGGATGGCCCTTTGTCATTTTGATCTGCTTTTCAGATAGAAATTTATAATTTAAAAAATTTTTAATGCCACAAACATGGCTGGGTATGGTGGCACACACCTGTAATCCCAGCACCCAGTAAGGCAGAGGATCGCTTCGAGTTCAAGGCCAGCCTGGGCTACATAGTGAGTTCAAGGCCCACCTGAACTGCATAGTGAGACCCTGTCTAAAATACCCTCCAAAGATACACAAATGCTGCAGGTCGCTGGTTCTGAGCCAAATCTGCAATGTAAGGATACTGGCCTGGAAGAATTTCAGCCCTGTCCTCCATGTCTGAGCAGCAGAACTTAAAGATAAACCTTTTTTGTTCCACATCTTTTCTCTTTACTCTTCCCTGCCTTCTGTTGGGAAGAACAATTTTAGTATTAATTCCAGCACCACACTTTTAGGAATAAGAGAAAGCCTAATATATTCCCCAAGATGAAAAAGCTGATTTTTTTTTTAAATAAGTGTGGATTTTGAACCTTTCTACAGCACTGTAGTTCTGGTCCTGATTTTCTGACTGGGAAGTCTTCTCTGATGAGCTATGGGAATTTGGCTTCCTACCTTTTTTGTAACAGCAGTGTTTGGGGGATAAATTTGCGGTGATACATAAGTTCCTATTAGGGGTTTTATTGGCTTTTTGGGAAACTATCTTTCCTTACAGTTTGGTGAGTGGCTTAATAGCAAATTATTAATTTTTTTGAAAAAGAAGACCGGAGATTTCAACTGTACCTTTTGAACTTCTTTCTCCTACCATATCTTTGAAAACTGAGGAATCACTTTTAACTGTGATGAGCGTATATGTCCAAAAAAATCAGTAAAGACTCTGGATGGTCAATGAGGATGCTTAATCTTACAAATAAAAATAATTTTAAAATCATGTAATTAGAACAGAGCGGCTGCTGTTTGTTCTGTAACCAAGGCAACTTTTTTTGGTGGGGAGGTCAGACATGTTGAGCTTGTACTTCACTGCTGACCTGCATCCCCAGCCAGCTGATTTTTTAAAGTGAGAAGGAAACAGTCCCAGAATATCAGCTCCTCACTTACAGAGCCTTGTGACTGAGCTTATATTTTGTATAAGTAAAAGTTTATACTTTGTTTAAACAAGTTAATTTCACAGATTTCCATTCTGCATGTTTACTAAGATATAAGAACTGAAGTTAAAGGGGCTGGGAAGACAACTCAGTAGAATAAGTGCTTGCCTGGCAAGCACAAGGACCTGAGTTCAATCCCCGGTTCTGGAAAAAAAAAAACAAAAAAAACTGAAGTTGAAGAGTAAGCTGAAGATAAAAAATGCAAGTTAAGGGCTGGGGAAATAGCAGTACAGCAAAAAAAAAAAGTTAAAAGCATATATTTGAGTAGCTTCTGCGATTGGAGTTCAAAGTGCATGAGCTAGAGATTTTAAGCTGTTGTATTTTATGTTATAGAGGTAGCTATTACTACATAATAGTTTTATGACAAAATGAGAGGCTTTTTTTTTTTTCATGATTTTCACAAAGCCCAACACAGGTACAGTATTTAATCTTAAGACTTGTGTAGTCACCTCTTTCTTTCCTTCTTCTTTAGGTACACAATTTTTACCCCTTAATTTTAACAGATGGTACAGTTTGTGTTGTAGTCAGGGTTTGCAAAGGAAAAGATATAAGACCCATAAGTTACAGGGTTATGTATTCACCCAAAGAGTCAAATGAAAAAAGAATGCAGGAGATCTATCCACACACTAGAGACTCAAAAGAATCCAGCTAAGAGCCTGGATCCCATGCAGTGTCCTGCACAAGTCCAGCTGGAGGCCTAGAGCCCACGATAATGTCTCCTGCAAGTCTGTATCAAGGATCTGCACTGGGAAAGCCCAAAGGTCAGCGGTAGAAGCTAAAAAGTCTGATCCAACAGGATGAACAATCTGTGCCAGCAGGCTGAGGGATCTGCACTGGAGCCAGGAAGCAATGCTCAAGGTAAGGACTAGAGCTCCCCTGAGAAGAAGCACAGCCATCATCAGTGACAGCAAGGACCCAAGCTTCTCCAGTGATGAGAACAGAAGAGTTCGTATTAGGAGAGACAGAGTGACAAGCTGCTCCAGGAGAACAGAATCAACAGCACAGCTTTTTCCCCTTTATGCTCCCAGCAACAGTCCTCAGGGCCCTGCACACCCAGCCTCACGCTGACTAGTTCAGCTGGGTGTGACAAGTTGACTGTTAATCCAGCAGTTTGTAGAGCCCCATGCTTAAGTATGTGTTGTATACTAATTTTAAGATGGCCTAGCTTTGTTAGGATATTGTCTAAGTAAAAGGAAAGATTTGGGTATCCCCTTAAAAGCCCTGTAAAGCCAAAGGGTTGTGTAAGGTTGCTGTGTTGAGAAGTGTGTGACGGTGCAGAAGGCCCTCTGTACAAGTGGGTGAGACTGGCTAGAAGTGGACAAGAGCCGTGTAGGTCTCTGGTGGGAATTTGAGGGGCATTGTCTCCTGGTGTCATAACAAGGCTCGTGGGGCTAGGCCGATAAATGAAAATAAGCCTCCATGTAACTCTCAGGCCAACTGAAGACTGCGCACTTCCTATACTTGTTTTTTGTTTTTTTTTTTTTGTTCCTCGAATGCCTTCAGGGCACTTTTGGCCAGCTGGAGAGGTGTGAGGTTCGAACTCCAGCAACCTGAGGCTGACAGCTTTGTGGAAGCAGCCACTTAAAGGCCTGAGCTAGGGCCAGGCCCCCCGCTTCCTATACTTGTGATTGAACTAACTTAAGAGCCTGCCTTTACCAACGAAACTGCACTGTTGCATCCATTTTTTAAAAATAAACCTTGAGGGCCAGGGAGATAACTTAGAATAAGCCTAGCAAGTGCAAGGTTCTACGTTTAATCCCTGGTACCACAAAATAAACCTTTAATTTTGGAAGTTTTAGATGTATAGAAATACTGCAGAAATAGTACATAGTTGCCACACTCACTTTCCCCTATTAATATCATACATTCATATGGTACATTTGTCACATGAGCGAACTAATACTGATAGGCTATTGCTAACTGGAGTCCATATTTAACTGAGCTTGCCTTAGTTTTCTTCATGTCATTTTTCTGTCCTATGCTAGGTACCACATTATTACAGTGAATCATCATGTCTCCTTGGGCTGCCACAGTTGTTAGTATTATATAAATACTCATCTTTTTGGGATTTTTTTCCCCCACTGTTCAGGATTCAATCCATGGTCTTCATGCTGAGCTATATTCCCAGCCCCTATTTTTACTTTTTATTCTGAAACAGTCTTACCAAGCATGCCACACCAGCCACTGAGACAGTGGTGGCACACACCTGTAATGTAATTGTACCAAGTAAAAAAAAAAAAATCTTACCAAGTCCCTGAGTTACCTTGGCTGGGCTTAGTCTTTCTGCCTGGGCCTCTCAGATTGCTGGGATTACAGCTGTGGACTCTTATGTTTGACTTCATTCCATCTTGAAGTATCTGAATGGGTCAGAAGCTGAAAAACTTTTCCTGAGGTCTGATTATCTGGTCTTAGCAGGCTCAGCAAATCAGTGAAATTCTTTGTGATTGAGGTCTTTTTTGGCCTTACATTTTATTTCTCAAAACATGTCACTGCTTGCATATGCACTTTCAGGTTGTTTACCTGCAAAAGTCATTCATTTCTGTGTTCAGCTTCATGGAAAAAACAGCCACCACTACCACTAGACAAGTTGGTCAGACTACCCTTGGGTCAGCTGGACCCTCAGGGCTGCACTCTGTCTGCACAAGAGGATAGTTTGCCTTCTCAGCTGAGTCCTGCGGTTTGCAGGATGCATTTCATCCTGCCCACAGATACAGCACACAGATCGAAAGACTCGGATGGCCTCTTCCCAGATCTTAGCGTGGTCAGTAAAGCCGTTCATAGTTGTAGAGCACTCTAGGTTACATCAGAAATCCCTTAGTCTCCCTGATTTTTTTTCCCTGAAGAGATGTTAAGGTAATCAGCAAAGAAAGTGAAGCTATTCACATGGGTATCTACTTTGTAAGAAAATGTCAAAATTTTGACTGGAGTTTGGGTCTCACCACGTATTGGTATTGTCAGGAGCATCACCAACAGGTGGCAGCAGTTCTCAGAAATAGAGTAACCCCCACTGGTCCTGGTAGAGCCGGCATTCTAGGAGCCCAGGTCCTGGAGGCTGAGAGGTTCCTTGAGCCCAGGAATCTGAGACCAACCTGGGTTAAAGAGCAAGACCCTGAAACCAACATAACTGGTTAAGCTAGTAGTTGCTTCTGCATTTTGTTAAGTAATTTCTAGGATTTTAATTTTCCTCCATGCATTTCATTATGGTGGCTGGTATTTTGGGCTTTAGTAGGCATAAAGTGATACGAGGAAGGCAAAATCAGCAGGTTAGCAAAAAACTTTAAGCCAATTTAAAACTGCTTGATTCATTTTTGCCATAATTTTTATGTAGCAAAGTGTGATGCCAAATGCTTATGTTTCTACTGACATAAAACAAGGTGTGTATGAAGGTCCTAAGTAGGACCAAAGACTTGCTATGTTATGGTGCCTGCTGATACTATGATAGTAGAAAGAATAGCCTCTCTATT